TCATCGCCAGTAGGTTGGAGGCCATTGCTAGTAGGTTGGATGTCATCACTAATAGGTTGGAGGCTGGTGCGATTAGAAACAAAGAAGAAGAAAAGGAGAAAGGCACCAACATCTATTTGTTTCATGTGGAGCCGATGTATTGAGGTTTGCAGTGCAACCGGCCAGCACTAGCTACTTGGCTCCAAGATTTGTGTTGTGAACCACTCTGGACACAAGAGTATGTCTAACTTTTTTTTCAATGTTTATCATGCCATTTAGTGGTGCAACCCGACGGCGTCATTGATATTGTATGATGCATGAAAACGACGATTGTAACGAGGAGGATTGTTGGCTTTCTGCTTCCGAGGCCACGGCCACAGCAGTGGCATGGTCTTGATGCAGGAGTCAAAGCGAAGCAGTGGAATGGTCCATGGAACAAAGTGGAACATTGTTCTTGTTTGGAGTCAAAGGCCGATTGAAGTCAAAGTTACAGCAATTCAGGCCAGTAGAGCTCATTTTGTATGTTGACTTGCTGCAGGAGCACAAAGCGGACCAGCATGCCGGTCAGGAAGAAGAAGAAGGGTGCGAGATGAAGGGACTCTAGTAACTAGTAGTGCTAGTGAAGTCCAGATGTGTCCAACAAATCTGTTGTCTTCAGTTTCTTGTTCTCAAGCATCGTTGCCACTCTTTGTTCGATTTCTTTGCGCTGAGCACCTTTTGAGTAAGAAATCGCCGATTCTGTGTTTGTGCTTTGCCAGGTTCAACTTCTTCACATGGCTATACAACCTCTTTGCCGGTGGTTCGGAGGACGCAGGGCAATGCTTTCCTTCAAGCTATCAATTGCTTCGGGGGGGCCGCAACCTTGCTTGCGACTGGCAATCTTTTCTCCCATGCAGGAGAAGTCGGTGAAAGTAGAGGAGAAGTCCGTATATGTCACAGTTACCAGGGAGAAGAAAAACCATATTAGACCTTTCTTTTCTTTTTTCATTGTTTTAAATAGCACTGGCCTCCAACCTACTAGCGAAAAGAACAAAGAAGAAAGACATGGACAAGAGAAAAGGACGCAAAAAAAGAGAAAGGACGCAGAAGGATGCAGAAGGAAGTAACAAGAAGCTACTAGGGGCTCCTGGCATCGCTACTAGGAGCAAGGACGTTAGTAGGGGCTCCTGGCCTTACTACAGGTAATAAGAAGCTACTAGTAACAAGTGCATCGCTACTAGTAACAAGTGCCTTACTAGTAGTAACAAGAAGCTACTAGTAACAAAGGGCATCGCGACGAAACGTCTCAGATCCAAATCCGAATCCAGGAAGCTGAATCTTGGGACTCGGAGATCCCAGGCCCTTCCCTCAAGGAATTCTTTTTCCACTTCTTTCTTTCATTTCTTTTTTTCATTTCTGTTTCATTTTCTTTTCATTTTTTCGGACCTTTATACAGACCTTTCCTTTTTGCGTCCTTTCATTCAGCATTTCTTCTCTCTCGATTCCCAGAAACACATTGGAATTAAAAAGGATTGGAGATGCACCAGGAGCCATACCCGACCACAATTGAAATGCGTTCCATGTACATGTGGACAAAAGTGAAACCACTTTCAGACTAGAATTACCCATGATTGCTTAGGAGGTGGTTGGAGTTCCGTGTGGGATCCAAGCATTTCTTGCAAGCAACTAGCAAGCGAGCTTGCTCAGCCTGAATGTCTTTCTCAATCACTCGCAAAGCAAGCTCGGCCAAGGAGACCAAGACCACAAACACGCACTCGACCACGACAGTGGAGCCAAGTTGCTGCCAGCTGTGTCCAGAGTCGCTTTGTTTCACTGTGTGCGTTGGACCTTTAATAAGAAGCTACTAGTAACAAGTGCATCGCTACTAGCAACAAGTGCCTTACTAGTAGTAACAAGGACGCTACTAGGAACAAGTGCATCGCTTCTAGTAAC